TTACCACAAGAAGTCAATCACCAGTTGTGGCGATAAAAACGCAAACCTTTTCTGATCCTCAACTGACAGTCTTTGAGTCCAACCCTGAGGTTCTCCTTTCGGGACAATTTGGACGCTTTGCGGATCAATTTGAACAGCCGTTTGGCCAACTTCTTGGACGCCATGGGCTTCGCGATGGCGGACGTGAAGGCGATCTTCGAGTCGTACGAGAGGTCAGTCCATCGCCGGGAGTCACTCATCGACACGTCGGCAGCGGTTCCGTCGTCTATCTCCTCGAGGGTGTCGTCGGCCGCCGCGGGAACCGCTGTCTTCGCCTTCTTGGCCTTCGGCACATCCGTGTCGTCCGTTTCGTGTTTCTCTCGCTTTGATTTTCCCATTGATTTTGCGCTCAATTAACGATTCAATCAATTGATTGCGGATTTAAACGTGAAATCAGTTTATTGTTTGTCTTGTATTCAAAACACATGTGTTTTTCAAACACTAAATGACTTTGTTTTCAGTCCAATAGATGGCGATATCACTCGACCAGCGATTCAAACAAAAACCCATTAACTGCACAGCGATAGAGGCGTACGGATAGCGTGTTTTTGTTGTGCGCACAACTCATTCAATGCAAATGTCTGTACGAATTGACAGACATTTTTTGTGTTGACCTTAACATCGCTTTTGAGTCCAGTTTTGTGTGGATTTGATCCCAAGAATCGGTAATTATCTTCACATATGTCTGGCCATTGATGAACGCAATTGTCTTAACGGATTCCTTACTTCTTGTACACCACAGATATGTCTCGATCTCTACTATCGTTGCAGTCGTTGAGCGCAATAGCGATGAGGTGTGCGTCCACTGCGGGCTCTTCACCGATGGTCAGGACTCCGGTCCCGCTCTTCGGCATCGATGGCCGCTATGTGTCTGCCATCTGGTCGGCCGCCTCTAAGCAGAAGAAGTTGGACGCCGTGGACAACGAACTCAAACAACTGTTGACACTCACTCAGAAAGACGTTCGCTTTAAGGACCTGCTCTTCAATCCGTTGATTAAGGTATGCGTCCATTGAATTGATC